GAAATGACAAATATCTCTGATTTTTATGGAAGAGCTAAAAGGGCACTTTTATCTATAGCATCCAGTCTGTAAGAAGCACTGTTAAGTAATGAGGCTATTTTTATTATATGTCCATTCACTTCAGGAGTATTCAACATGGCAGTGGTCTAAAAACAGCAAACTTGCTCGTTCGGAAAGGTAAAATTGTATATCGGAAGGCATTTGCCAGAGTTTTCCTTTTTAGGTATTAAAGTTGGACCTTCGAGGCACGATTCCCGTTGTGCCAAACTTTTGTTTCTCATATTCAGCAGAAACAGCTTTCGAGTGACAAAGTCAAATTCTTCCCAAACGCACTTCATGAGGCTGTCCTCAATACATCATCCTAACGCTGTTTAGACTCGATAACATTCGGTGCGCCACGCTCCGGTTTGGAAAAAGTCTGCTTTTTAAAATAACTGATTCAATAAACTGTTGACAAATGATGTATATCATATAATATGGCCAGAGAGCCAGGTTTATCTCTGTCAATACATGCCGCATGCAGTCCGTTCACAAATGTTGCCATGTTCCCCTTATGTTAGGGCTCCTTATGCCATTCTGAGTAGCAATCCAAAGATCAATACACAGTCTGCTGAAAACAACAGGACATAACAAATGAATAATTTTATTTACAATAAAGCCTCGGTCCCTAAATGGATTCCCCTAATGCTCAGATTCATTTTTCATGCTCAAGATGGGAGGTAGACATAGCATAATGCAAGGGAACGGCATTCGGAGCAATATTAACCATACTGGTTCAAATTTATTTAAGCCACACGCAATCGTGGGACTGCACTGAGGTACATGAATAAAAAACATTCACTGCAGAATTCTGAAGATGCAATCTCCAAAATGCTTCTATTCTCTCACCAAGACACTCTGAAAAGCATTTTCCAGTAACAAGAAATTAATGGATTAAAGACATTCTGACATATCCTTCTCAAGCATTGCACCACAGAGGCCAAAGCCCATTCAATAAGCTTTAAACAGTTTGCAACGAACAGAAGTATTTGCTTTAGGTGGGGACAAGGAGGGATTGAAGTGGGTCTTTTGAGAATGAAGCAAATAGTCTTGCTTCAAAAGCTTATCTTTGGCCCCTGATCTGACAGTTCTTTTCCTCCTCTGAAAGGTATGAAAAAGTCAGTGAGCAAAGTCGTAAGAAAAAAAGGGTTGGGGAGAGGGAGCAAAATGTTAGAGAGCACACAAGTTGAAAGATGACATTTACAAGTCTCGTGAATGGCACATTCCCCAAAGGCCGCCTGAACCCTCTTTTTAAAAAGAAATCCTCATAAATACAAAATAAAAATTTCCCATTCGCATACAGATGCCAATATATTGCCCACGAGATGCAGACTTGTCCATTAAAAATTAACATGCACCAAAAAAAAAAAGAAAGAAAGAAAGAAAGAAAGAAAGAAAGAATCTTTCCCCATCAGCCATGAATTCATTCACCTCTTTCTTTTAGACTTAACTCTGTATACTTGTAACACAGAAATGTAAACAAGATTGCAACTGAGAAAGCAGGAAGGGAAAGTTTAAAAAAATCAGCTTCGATAGGATACTAAAAAACCTGGAATAAAAGGGGAACCCGTTTGGCTGGTGTTCGGGAATACTGAAAAGGCAGGATTTCCACGCACACTTCTTGCCCCCCGCCTCCGTTGAAATGATTCATGTGATCCCCATGCTTATCATTTCATTTTAAATTCAGTCAACATAGAACTTTGGATGCTGAGGAAAAAGAGATGTGCAAAAGCAAGTCCTGCCCCACCCCTTTCCAGGAACTAAGGACTTAGCACGGAACCAAGCAAGAATGCGTGGTTCTGACTTGAGGCAGACCCGTTAAGTGTTTGGCACCACCGTGCCTGGAACAGAGTAGGAGCTCAGGAATAAACTGCTGCATGAATCAACATGCAAATAAGGAGCCAAGGGTCACAGAAAGGACGGAATATTTTCTTCCTGAGGGGGAGCAAGCCAGGTATCAAAACATCTTAGCTGAACCGAAAAAGAATGGGAAGGATCTCCCGTACAGAGACAGGCAGGGTCAAGATGGGTGGAGACATGGTGAAGGGAAATGCAACATCTCTTTAGGAAATAGTTGGAACAGGGGGGGAGGCGGAGTCAAAATAATGAAAATCTTTGAAAACTATGTAAGGAGTTTGTACTTTATCCTCAAAAAAAAAAAAAAAAGATTCATTATATTCATTAATGGTTTACTTGCAAGGGAATAGGAAGGAGAGAGACGATGGGAGCTTAGGTCTAGAATGAGGTGTGGGCCCGAGTAAAGTCTAGGAGCAGACGGGGTGCAGGGAGCTGGAAGACCTAGGAGACCCACACCAGGGGGCTGATCTAAGGCAGACAGAAGAGAATGCTGGGGGAAGATGAAAGCCCACTGCAGACATCTCAACCATTTATTTTATGGAAATGATAATAGGCAGAGCTAGCCACAGCTTCAATTCCCAAATCTCAAGACAAAAGAATATCACTTTCTGCAGGCAAATGAGTAATGTATTAAGATTCTTCTCACAGTTATCACCTAACCGAGTTTACAAAGGTAAAGTAAAAAAAAAATAAATAAATAACAAAATCATCATATAAAAAGGATTGTCTGAATACATTATCTACTGGCCCTGAGACCCCTTTAAACCCTGCAGATATGAAATAGCCTCACGGAGTATACAGATGATAAAGATGTCCCTGTTCTGTTATCCCCAGAAAGGGTTGGTTCCTTCTTGCTACTTTCCAAACGAACTCAGGTTTGTTCATTTTAATGCAACATCCTGTCCAAAATGGCAATTCCAGGGCCATCTGGAACAAAACCAGTTATCAGTCACTAACTGTTCACTGTTCAGAACAGCATTTCCTGAGAAGAAGACACCGCAACTTTTCTTTAAAGATTTTTTTTTTAATTTATTCATTTGAGATGCAGAGACACAGAGCACACAAGCAGGGGGGGAGGCAGAGGGAGAGGGAGAAGCAGACTCCCTGCTTAGCAGGAAACTGGACATGGGGCTCAATCCCAGGACCTAGAGATCATGACCTGAGCTGAAGGCAGACGCTTAACCGTCTGAGCCACCTAGGCAACCCATCACAACTTTTCTTAAGTATAAACATGCCTATGACCCACGTCTTATATCACACATGCCAAATGGGTTAAAAAGACCATGAAAAGTCAAGTTTCTTACTATCAATATATAAGTAAAAAAAAAAAAAAAAAAACCTCACGAAGTTAAATTCAATCCATTATTAACCATTAAAAAGGCAGTACAACTCAGCAACTTCACAATTTTCCAGGCCAAGGTATTAAAACACATTCATCCAAAACCACATTTTCATCCCAGGTTCCCTCTTTGATACAAGATAGAAGTCAACTAAAGCGGGCACTCAAACAGATACCTACAACATTTCAACCATATTCTTCTGACACCGGAATTCTCAAGCATTTTCTTTAAAAAAAAAAATTCCTCAGCGGAGAAAAACAACCAGAAACTTGCAGCAAAATCAGATGAAAAAAATAAAACACTTCTGTTATTTAAAGAACTTCACAGTCTCTTAGAAGAACTCAAATAAAATTGGTATAGATCTTTAAAATTGTTCTCTTTTAGAGGACCTTCCTGAACCATTCTAGTTTTTATTTCTACTTCAATAGAGGAATAATATTTTCTAATATTGAGTATTTATAATGTAGATTATTTTTATACATTTAAAAGAAGAGCTAAATATCAAGTAGTTAAATATCAAGTAGTCATTCACATATCATTTAGTAGTTTACTGCTGTGATCCTTAGTTTTATAAATTTACAGAATTTATTTGGCTAAAATTAAATTCAAGGAATTTGGGCACCTATCATAAAATCACAATTATCTTTTGGTTCGTGTTTTCTTATTGTATTATTTTCAATGTAGAGCAGTTACATGGCCAAGAAAGATTATTCCTAAAGTTCTCAAACTCCTTGAAAACTCCCATGGTGGGGGTAGCATTTTCCACACTACAACATGATTTTATTTTGAAATAAATATTCATATATATGTGTGTGTGCGTGTGTGTGTGTGTATACACACACATATATATATGAATATTTATTTGAAAATAAAATCATATTGTAGTGTGGAAAATGCTTATTATCTTAAAATATGAAAGTTTATACTTTCTTGCACTTTGCATAGTAAATTAGTGGGAAAACAGAAAAAAAAAACCAGAAAAAAAATTCTAGACAGTCAGTACAAAAGTCATCTGCACACAGTCACGAGTGATACTTTCAGCAACATAAAAATAACTCCAGAATATTTCACCAATTCCTGCTGCTCCCGTGGCAAAGAATAAACCTTCTACTGAAGTCAATAGGAGGAAAGGCTACAACACAATGGTCAGAGGGAAATAAAACAACTCTACCACCAATGACACTGGACAATGATCTACAAGCTGTGATGTTCTCCAAGAAAAAAAAAAAAAATGCTATTGCAGATCCTAAAATGAAAACAACTGTTTTGTAGGTATATTTATGTGTATGAATTTGCTTGAATGATCTCTAAGAGGTAAAGATAGCACGTCAGGCTCAAATCTTCAGGTAATACCTTATTTCCACATCACAAAAGTGCCACCAATCTCTATCTTACTATTAATATTCACTACTGATGACTGAAAACAAAGCACTCATGATACTCATTGAGCCCCCCTTAGAAGGACCTATTTATTTACACAGCTACGATAGTGAAAAGGTCAAGTAAAAATTCACCTCCAAAGCCACGGTTGCTAAGCAACTCTTTTCAGAAGTTCTGCAACATTGATCAAGCATATTGCTGGTACCACCAACTGGATCCAGAAATAAATGCAACATCTTACCTGGTTTCTCCAAAGGGGGAGGCAGGTGGATTCCTTGCTTACCTCTGCGAACAGACATGGAGGCCAACGCTGTATTCCTTTAGTCTGTTAAGTTCAGGGGCTTTTTATTTTCCCTCTCTTAAAAAAAAAAAAAAGGATACGTCCTGGTACCACAGGTTTCCTGTTTACAAGAGCAAAGGACAGTTCTGTTTTGAGAAAAACTACAGAGGGCTTGATGAGGTGTTGGCCAAATCGGAATGACATTTCTTCACAGTTGAAGCCTGAAAAGAGAAAATGATTTAAGAAGTGAGCTTTTGTAAAATTCAGATGAGAAACTTAGATTATTTTAAAGAAATACCAATACTTTAAAGAAAAGTAAATCCCATTTCCTACAGATTTTTAGTTGCAAGGATGACATCATTGAAGCTGTTCCCGACTTAATGTCCACCAAGATAGATTCTGGGCAAGTCCTCCTAACATACACTCTCCTCTCCCTACCCAGCATTGCCTTATTTAGAGTGTTTTCAAGCAGAAGCTTATACATGGGCAACAAAAAAGTCTTCTTAAATCCCTCTGCCATTCAAGTTGTCACTTTAACCCAAATCTGCTAGGTCCCATCTCTTGGCTTATTTTTACCCATTCATCATCTTTGCTAAGCTGAAATTTTTAATTGTTAAGCATGGACTATAAACCATTTAATTCATAAATGATTTTCTCAAATGGTTTTATCTCTATTTATATAAAAGCAATTTAGAAAAAGTACAAATGCCATTTGACCCTGCCTACAACTACAAAAACATGAGCACTCTGAGGAAACTATTAGAGTAAAAATTCCAAAACTAAAGGGAAAAAAATTGAGAAAAAGAAAGAACAAAACAGAGTTCAAGAATGAGAACTTCTGGCTGAGTCAGTGCCAGGACTGACAGTAAGGCGTGTGAAAGGTTCCATATCTTCTTTGTGGGGGAAAGCCTCAGGGGTGAGGGGTGGTTGAAGGAATACTTGGTCCTTGGCAACTGGGGTACGAGGTAATGATCTTCCAATGATCAGATGCCGATACAGGGCAGAGTTACTTTCTGAATGACAAAGACACAAATTCCTTGGAAAACCATTCATTTTCCTGATTTAGAAACCACCCCACTATAAAACTATGAAAATAGATCAACCCACGGGAAACCAGAAATACGATTACAAAAAGGATAATGTCAGAAAATGGTTGACTATTTTATAAAGCATAAAAATAAGTGTACAATTGTTTAATGATTCTGATGTTCTCAATGACTCAGAAGATACAGAGAGCCATGCAAATGCCATCTAGGGTCACCTAGAAGTACCCACATGGCAAGAACCTAACACATTTCAGGGACAAAGACATAAAATGGAAGGTGTGCCTCAATGGTACAAATACCGGTTTTCAGAACATTTACAACTAGCTCATGAGAGGCCAGTAAAGACATCAAAAATCATCTAACCCAGTGGTTCTCAGAGTGTGTTTCCTGGACCAGCAACATGAGTATCACCTGGGAACTAATTAGAAATGTAAATTTTGATCCTACTCTGGACCTCCCAAACCAGAAACTTAGGCAGAAGGGCCAAGAATAACCTATCCAGATGATTCGGAACCATAATCAGACCCAACTAGTCTCCCAGTCCTTGGGTCCTTCACTACAGAATCCTGGCCAACCAGCTGGCTAGCCTGGGCTTGAGTACACCCAATGGTGGGAAGTTCACTACCCATTACTTCTAAGAAAATTCCAGCAATTACATAGCTGCCCATCCTATTTATCCAAGTCTATTTATCATGAATTTTGCCTCAGGGCCATATGAAACAAGGAGCATGCAGTGGTAGTGCTTCAGATATTTAGAGTTAATTTTTATTCATTTCCCCCCTCCACCATTTGTCTAAAATGAACATGGCACTTCATTTCAGTCATTCTGCAAGCAGCATTGATTCAATTCCACCACAGCTCTTGGTGGTTTGTTTTTGTTTTTGTTTTTGCCTACCCAGCATCTACTTTCTATATATCTGGCCATAATTGGGGGGGTAATTTTTCTTTGGGTAATACCCCACTATTTTGTGCGCTATTCCCACCACCTGATTCTAGAGACAGGAAATTGATCCCGACTTCCTTAGGCTTCTGTCACATGACTGGTTCAGGAGTGGACACAGGACCAAAAAATGAGCCACTGAAAGAAAAAAGATCCATGAGAAGATTACTGCTGACACTACAGGGAAAGAACTTTCTCCCTGCTGAGTTGCCAGTCTGATAGGACATGAACCAGAACAACTAGAGGTTGCACGGAGTAGAGTCAGCCTGACACACGGAGGCTGGCAGAGCCAAGACAGAGACCCATTCCTAGGAGATTGACTTAAGCACAGGTTAACGAGCTCATGCTAGGAGTCCATCAAAAACTCTTCATGTGGTTTTCATTTTTCTTACCATTTCTCCTTCATCGCTCTGCCCAGCCCCCTTCTTTCCACCACAGAGCTTCACTGTTTCATAATTCATGTATTGTTTATCACCTTAATTGCATTTTATAAATATTTTCCATGTCAAAATTATATAGGGCACTTGCAGGTTTTTAAAGATTTATTTATTTATTTGACAGACAGAGATCACAAGTAGGCAGAAGTAGGCAGAGAAAGAGGAGGAAGCAGGCTCCCTGCCTGAGCAGAGAACCCGATGTGGGACTCGATCCCAGGACCCTGGGATCATGACCTGAGCTGAAGACAGAGGCTTAACCCACTGAGCCACCCAGGTGCCCCTCTTGCAGGTTTTTAAAATGGGTATATAAATTGCATCATGCTTTAAGTATCTTTCTGCCTTTTTTTTCCTCAACACTTTTAGAAATTCATTCCTGCTGTTTTAAGTAGATATAATTCATTCCTTTCTACTTCTTATTCACTCAGTATATTACACTGTCATTTCCCTTACCTGTCCCTCTAGCAATGAAGAATTAGCTTGTCTCCCATCTTGTACCACAAATACCACTGTGGTGACCACCTGACATAGATTTCCCTGAGTATGTAGGCTGGAGTCCCATTATTTGGTTTTAATATCTGGATTTTCTAAAATAAACGTACCAGTTTGCATTCCCGGAAGCAATAGATGTAGATTTCTATTTTCTCACATCCTTGCGAGCACTTGGGAGTCTCTGATTTCCTAGCTGTTACCGGTATGAGAAGCAAAATAGAAGCTCTTAATTTTCCTTTGTCTCCAATGTGATATAGGTGGCTACTTCTTCTTGTATTGTCAATTCATACTTTGCCCTCTTTTGTACACATCTCCTCCCTTCTGTTTTCTGGTTTTTCAGAGTCCCTTGCGTATTTAAATATTGATCTTGGTCTTTTAAACATGACAATTATGTTTTCACCATCTGTTAGTTTTCCTATCATATGATCCAGTAAACAAACAGCATTCATTTTTTATGTATTTGTCAATTTTCTTTTTATGGTTTGTGCCCTGTGACTCTTATATAACAAACCCTTCTCTACCACAAAGTTATAAAAATATCTTATATTTTTGTCTATCAGCTTTATAGCTTCATTCTTAACAGTTTGATACTTAATCCACTTGGAATTTTGCTTATGGTACGAATTACAAAAATGTGTTTTGTTTTTTTTGGTTTTTTTTTTTTTTTTTTACTTTTGTGAAACAATTTTCCTAGGATGAATTGCCAGGAATATTTACACCAAATCCCTTTACGTACAAAGGAGTAAGTCTGTACTCAGAATATTCTGATTCTATGTAAGATGCTAAAGAAGAGGGGTGCCAGATTTTTTTCTCTGAAGGGCCAGATTCAGCCCATCACATAGTCTGTTGTAACTACTCAACCCTGTTATGGCAGTATAAAAGCTGCCAAAGACAATACATAATAAACGTATGTGCAGTGTTCCAATAAAACTTTATTCATAAGAGATGGCAGCAGCCTGAACTTGGCTTCTGGGCTGTAGTTTGCCAACTCCTATTATATAATATTAATGCCTTGTAAAAGGAGGATCCTTCTTTGTTCACCCATATAAATTTTAGATTCAACTCTGCCCCTTAAAAAAAATTATTCCTTGGATGTCGATTAGATTTACACTGATTTTAAATTTTAATGGGGGAAATCCGACACCTTCACAATATTCAATCAATCCATTTATGTATGCTGCATTTATGTTCTATAATACCATAATAAAACTCTTGTAATAGGGTTTTAAATTTCCCTTATGTTTTATGAATTCTTAGATTTATTCCTAGATAGCTTTTAGTTTATGTCACTATTACAAATGGTATCCTATCATCATCATAGTTTATAATTGGTTATTCCCAATACAGAGGAAAGCTATTGATTTTTATATTTTGCTCTTACAAGCTGGCAACCTAGCTGAACCCTTGTATTGCTGCTAATAGTTTCTGCTGATTCTCTTTGGTTTTCTATATAAATGATTTTACTTAGATATAATGACAATTGTCTCTCTCACTTCAATCTTTCTACTTCTGTTGGTTTGTCTTGCTGCATTGGTCAGGTATCTGGTATTATGCTGAAAGGCAGAAGTGACACAACCATCTTTGTCTTGTTCCCAACATTAAAAGACATGAAGGAATGAGTTTAAATCTGTTTCATGAAAAATGCTATCTGCCATAGGTTTTTAGTACAAAGTCTTTATCAAGCTTTAAAAAAATCTCTAGTTTAAGTCTAAGGGTTGATTACATTTAAAAAAAGAATTTAGTTTTACTAAATGTTTTTTGTCATTGATCAAACAATGTCTTATTCTTTGCCATTACAGTAACACTTTTTAAAATGCTGGAACATCCTTTCACTCTTACGAAAAATTAAACTTAGTCACATTTTTAATATACTGCTAGATTTGAATTCAGTGTTTTTTTATGTCATAAGTGAAATCATCCAATATTTTTTACTTAGTTTTGTTTAAAAAAAAATCATAGGTTGGCTTTTCTTTGTTCTACAAGAAGTTTTATAAACAAGGATTTTCTGTTCCTTGAGATTTAAATAGAACTACTTGTCAAACTGTCTAGGCCTATTTTTATATCACAGGATTGTTTTGATAAGCATTACAATTTATTTAATGGTTACTGATTGCATTTTTTTCCTTGCAATTTTTTAACCTAAATTTATCCTAAATTTTTTTCACCTCAACTGATCTTTATTGGTTAAAAAAAAAAAAAAAAAGCCTCTTTGAACAGATTAATAATTCCTAATTATTTCTTTTACCTATTTTGTATTTATTCATAATGTATATATTTTTCAGTTTTCCTGGAATTATATCTACCGTATT